TGAACCCGGAAAGCAGGCCACACCTACCGAAGAGGTTCCAAATTTTTTTGAAACCCACCACTCACACACACACACACACACACACACACACACTCACTCACACAGAGAGAGAAAGAGAAAGAAAGGAAGAAAGAAAAAAGAAAGAAAAAAGAAAGAAAAAGTGAGAGAGAGATGAAAGAAAAAAGGGAAAAGGGACAGAGAGACAAAAGGAAAGAGAGAGAGAGAGAGAACACATGGCCGGCAAGCCACTCCCACCAGGTCACATGGCCAGCAAGCCACTTCCACAAAGGAGGCCAGACCCACAGAGTAGGTTCGAAAAATTTTTGAAACCCACCACTGCTGTGCACCTGTGTCTTTATTCCCGAGTCGGCCCTTGTTCCTTAACTGTTCCCTTCTCTTGACAGCTCTGTGCATGCACACATCAGGAACAGGCTCCAGTTGTTCTTCTGCCCCACTGATGTCCGATTCCGAAGGCAGCTGATAACTGTCAGAAGGCCCTGGCTCCCTCTCTGCCTCCAATGCAGAGCTTTCGTCAGAGCCTTCCCCAGACTCCAGGACTGGCCCTTCCCTTGGTTCCTCCCCAACCTCCTCACTGCCACCAGCTCCACTGGCCGCTGATGGGCCACAACAGGGAAATTATGATCACTCCTTTCATCTTGATGGGTATCTCATAAACCGAAAATCTACCATCACCGGACTGTGAAAACATGTGCAACCACTAGAAATCAATGAACAATTAGAATTTGTTGTTGCCATTTGTAATTTTGCAGCAGCAAACTTCCTGCTAATAACCGATTTATCTTCAGAAAGAAGAGAATTTATCCTTAGAACCAAGGGTCTTTCCGATGTAGACCAAAAGAGACAAGGAGATTTTCCCCTGCCAGATCTATAACTTCAAAAGATGTTCTGGAAGGAGTCTTAGGAACAAAGAATGTGACTATATGATGGTGAACCATCCTTAAATCTATCAGCTATTGTATTTAAACAGGGACCAAAGTCCACACTCAATAACACTGATGATATTAGCTAGTTGGGTGATGACATGTCAGCAAGCAAACCACGAAGCTCGGAGAATACCAAGGACCCCATAGTCCTCCTCCTCCTCCTCTTCTTCCTCCCCCTCCTCTCTGCAAACCCCACCACTTTTAGCACTGAAAAAAAGTAACAACTGTCTTGCTTAGCAGTGGAAATTTTGGGCTCAACTGTCCTAAGTCCAGGACTACCTGTAATAGGGCTGGAAGGGACCTTGGAGGTCTTCTAGTCCAAATCTTTGCCTATGACAGGAGATCAATACAATTTCAAACAAATGGCTATCTGTTTTTTTATTATTATTAGCACTGATGCTGTGATCTAGTTTGGTAATGAAACGTTGGCCAGAAAACAATCAAGCTCAGAGATCCTCCTCCTCCTCCTCCTCCTCCTCCTCCTCCTCNTCTGGCAACTCTGCGCATGCGCACACTGGGAACAGGCTCCAGCTGTTCTTCTGCCCCACTGATGTCTGGCTCTGAAGGCAGCTGATAACTGGCATACGACCCTGGCCCCCTCTCTGCCTCCGACACAGAGCCCTCATCCGAGCCTTCCCCAGACTCCAGGAGTGGTTAAGATTTGCTTTACATCACAAGCTAAGACACAATGCTGACTTTCGCTTTGTGTTTTATATAGGGTATCAATCACAGCCCAGAGCTAATTAGCTTAATGCACTTATTTCTGAGAATTTTTAGACATGCTGCCAAAGCAAAGAAATTCTTGGCAGGGTAGAGTGTTCACAAATAAAGACATAAATCAGTTCCCACCAATACAGCAAGTTGAAAACAAATGCTAAAATTAAAATCAGGCTACAACAAGATTAAAGTAAGCGTTGCAAAATTCCTGGGTGTTTATGGAGATGCTTCATCAGTTGTATGAACCCAACCAATGGTGGATTATTCCATAGACCGCAAGTAAATAAACCATAGCTAAGTGGGGTACATGAATCGGCCGCATAAATATCCCCATTGCAAATAAAACCAGCTTCCCTGAAAATGTTAATCATTCAATAGTTCATTTCAAACACCTCTTGGCACCATTTTTCTTCATATCATGAACCCATAAAAAAGTGAATATTTGGGGGACGCCGATCATGTTAAACCATAATTCAGTTCATTCATAATTGATGTCCATGGGATGGTGAAGCATGGGGGGGAAAATCATTGAAATAAAAAAATGGTTGGTGGACTTGAAAAATAATTTTTATACAGGCTTAAAACTCTGAATGGCATATGGGCAGGAGAGAAGGCGAGGGAGACACATTTGAAGAAATGATGCTGTCCAGAATGTAGAAATGGAAGAGGCTAAAGATAAAATCTATCTGTTGTGGACTGTCAGCCAATGGCCCCTCCAGTAGCTGAATCAGAGGAGGAGGAGGGGGCATGGGAGTAAGGGTCAGCATCAAGGCAACTTGAGAACTCCGAGTGGGAAGAGGGAATGGAGCTGGCAGAGAGAGAGAGAGAGAGAGAGAGAGAGAGAGAGAGAGAGAGAGCACTAGTGAAGCCCCACCCGAGCTCTGGGGATAAAAGGCAGGAGGTGGACATGAATAAATGTAGCAGAGGAGAGGAGAGCAGTGGAAATCTATGGGCTGGTCCATGGGACGGAAGATTCACTGCTGCTAGCGAAGCCCCACCCGAGCTCTGGGGATAAAAGGCAGGAGGTGGACATGAATAAATGTAGCAGAGGAGAGGAGAGCAGTGGAAATCTATGGGCTGGTCCATGGGACGGAAGATTCACTGCTGCTAGCGAAGCCCCACCCGAG